CGATTAAAAATTAAATTTCAAAATGTTGTTTCATAATTTTGATTTTTTTTCCAAAAATCTGGACGTTTCGGGTGAAAAGTCAATTCGGAGTAGTAAACTACATGTGTAGGACTATGTTATTTTATACAATTGAAAACCCATTTACTATGTACAATTTTGAAGTGACGTCATCGCATTAGTGGTGGGGATGATTAGACAAATTTTGGTTAGCGTTTTACCATCTACATGATATTCTTAATATAAGTACAAAGTTTCACAACAATCGGTCGAGTACTTTCGGAGATTATCTGTCTAATAAAAATCCGGAACGGCAGACGGACAGACGGACAGACGGACAGACGGACAGACGGACAGACGGACAGACGGACAGACGGACAGACGGACAGACAGACGGACAGACAGACGGAAATGGGAGACCTATTTCTTCGTCTTCTAGGGGTCATGAAAGATCGAGAAAACGTAAAAGTAGAGAGTCGGCCGACGGACTCGATTACAATACTTCCTTTGCTTACGCTCGGGAAGTAAAAATTGGTCTAAAGAGTTTAGACAGTACTTCCGTCGCTTTCAGAATCGTGTCTTTATGTCTATCATAGATTCTTCTCATTAGAGTTCTGTGACGGGATATTTCAATAAATTCGCTTTCACACTGGAAGTCACGGCTCGTTCGTAATTTGATCAATAATAACTTGACTGATTCATTAATTTTTTTGAGTCACCCTGTATAAGCAGATCTAAAAAATATGAATGCAATGATAAATTACAAGTATAGTCTGATCCAGTGGCGGCTTGTCCATAAGGTCGTTGGGACAATGCCCCCCCAAATATTTTTACGAATAAAAAACATTATTTTTTTTATTACATATTACTCCATTTATTATTTCATAATTTATTTTTGATGATTTTTACCCTAAGCGAGGAGTAGATCCCGTCCACGTCCAAGCGCGATATGTTAACTCCGCAAAAAGACCGAGGTTTCCATGCAGTCGGCTTTCAGATTCGACTCTACAGTCGCTTATGGGGGCTGATAGCAAATGTGGAAACTGCATTTACGCAAGACAGAGATAGGCTTTAGCGCGATTCAACATATCAGACAAGTACAGAATATCCTCGGCATACCTACAGTGGTGTCGACGGCCCAAGACTGTAGCACGCTTCTGATTTCGTACCAACACCACTAACCGATTAATTATAATTACAAACTGGCAAAACAGCATTTCCAGGAATTATCACATGTATTGATTTTGTTTTTTGTTGTGCTGCAGTAGCAGTCTGTAGTTGGAACATTTTATAAGCAGTGCAATTTAGCATCAACTTTTTTAAATCTAATTTGACCCCCCCCAATCTCTAGAATCACGAGCCGCCACTGGTCTGATCATATTTTGCACATTCCCGAAAAGATTTTTTCGGCAAAATTCTGAGATGACGTAACCAACTTTTTGGGGTTGATAAACAGATACATTCTGATTACAAAGTTACGAGTAAGATTCTTTTGCAATTCTTGATTTAATCAATAAAATAAATTGACTAAGTCATTATTTATTTGAGACACCCCGTATAAGCAAATCCAAAAAATTTTAATGTAGTGATAAATCACAAGTATTGTCTCATTATACATTGCACATTTAAGATACGATATATTCAGCGAAATTTTGAGGTGACGTCATACATTTTTTAGGGAAGATGAACAAATACATTTTGATTAATCGTTTACCATGCCTATGATAACTTTTAAACATCTCCAAGATTTGCAAGCATTCGGTTCTGTAGTCCTTGATTAAATCAATAAAATAAATTCCCGTATTCATTAATTTTTTGGAGTCACTCTGTATATGCAAATCCAAAAAATATGAATGGAGTGATAGATCACAAGTACAGACTTATCATATTTTGTACATTTTAGATAGGATTTATTCGACGAACTTTTGAGCTGACGTCATCAAGTTTTTGGAGGGGATAACCAAATATATTTTGATTAAAGATTTATGATGCTCCTTATAGCCTTCTATTTTTTTTTTCCAAAAATCTGGACGTTTCAGGTAAAAACTCAATTCGGAGTCGTAATAAACTACATGTTATTTTCTACAATTTAAAACCCATTTACTATGTACAATTTTGAAGTGACGTCATCGCATTAGTGGTGGGGATGATTAGAGACATTTTGGTTAGCGTTTTACCATCTACATGATATTCCTAACATAAATACAAAATTTGACAACAATCGGCCCAATACTTTCGGAGATTATTTGTCTAATAAAAATCCGGGACGGCAGACAGACAGACGGACAGGCGGACAGGCGGACAGACGGACAGACGGGCAGATGGACAGAGGAACGGAAACATGAGACCTATTTCTTCGTCCTTTAGGGGTTATGAAAGGTCGAGAAAACGTAAAAGTAAAGAGTCGGCGGACGGACTCGATTACAATACTTCCTTTGCAGGGAAGTAGAAGCTTTCTATGCGCATGTTTCAAATGCGGTTTTCCTTTACAAAATGTTGTGAAGACGCCATCAACATTTTTGCAAGGACACGTATATCAGCTTGGATAGATGCTGTGTAATACTAATAATAACAGTACTATTTTTCCAAATTTTTGGAAAAATGAAGTGAGGCGTTCCTGATTTAATCAATAAAATAAATTGACTCAATCATTAATTTTTTTGAGTCACGTGAAGTATAAGTAAATCTAAATAATATTAAATATATAATAAATTATATAATCATATAACCTCATCAATCATCATATATTGCACATGTTAGATAGGCAAATTTTGAAATGACGACATCAATTTTTTTGAGGGGATAAGCAAATATATTTTGATCAATAAAATCTAATAAAAATCCGTGACGGCAGACAGACGAACAGACGGACAAACAGACAGACGGAAACGGGACAACGGGAGACCTATTTCTTTGTCCTGTAGGGGGTCGAGAAAACGTAAAAGTAGTGAGTCGGCCGCAGTGGCGTAACAATCAAACTGCGGGCCTGTGTTCTACAACACTGTGGGGCCCTTAATGAACACCGAAATAAAAATATTTAAAAATACGTATATAATGAGTAAAGTATGAGTAGATTGCAATTAGGGCTTACGTTTTTTTTTAAATCATTTTATCTGAAACACTAAATTAAAAAAACAAAATACAATAACTACCTGAATACATACAGTGCATCTTTTTTAAAAGCGGGCATAGGGATTCCCATGTTATATTTTATACCCCGTGTTAACTTATGTTTGAGTAAAGATTCAGAGTTGAAATTTTTACCGAATGTAATTTGGGTCATCTTTTGTCGATTTTGTTAAAGGTTACGCTTTAAATTAAAGGATATTTCTTTAAAAAAATTAAAATATTTGGGTATTTTTACCTGTAATATTGTAGGCAGCCATGTAAAACAGACATTTACCTGACGTTTCTAAAATTTGATTACTCGTTCGATTACTGGTTTTTAGTGACCGAAATTTGTCAATATGCCGCAGTACACAATTAAAGAAAAAGTGGAAATGCTCACTGATGGATACATTAAAGCATACCCACATCATTCTACACCCGGGAAGAGCACAATTCAAAAATTTTACAGCAGATTTATAAACACAGGTTTTCTCGATCGCGGACATCAAAAAGGCAATTTCAGTTTAAAGCACAAATTAATAATTTACTGCAAAAAGTGATAGTGGAAATTAAAACCGAAAAAATCATTTGGCACATTAAGCTTCTGGCAATTTGATTTTCAATTGAGAGATTCAGTGAAGATAATCTGCATTGGCCCATTGTGTTTTTTAAAAAATTTTTAGTCATTTTTATTTTCGAAAAAGATCTTTCCGCTGAAGCCACCGAAAGAGGTATTGTAAGAAAAATGAAACATGCTGTGATAATTTCAGTGAAAGTAGTGCAGGTACTAGGTACTCATTTTGCAATAATTTCGCGGAGCAGTTTTTTTTCTACTTAAAAAATTAGTTGTAACATACATCAGATATATTTTATTATTCCAAAAATGCACCACAAGTACAAAATTAGAATAGTTTTGAAAATACGAAAGTTTTCATAAAACACAACTAAAACTGAATTTTTTTAACGTCTTATTACAGCATAAAGTTTCACTGAAGATCTGAGGACAAAATTGAAGTATTTTGTCATCCTGCATCATAAATTAGTCATACTTTTGCCGGATAAAGATTGGTAATTTACTACATGGGTTGTTAGATTTGCCACAATGCCACTGCGACACTGCGACAGATCTATTAGAAACATTTTAGTGCTGCTGCAGTTCGGCCGCCGGTGCCGGTGACTAAAACCCGAGTTTATTGAGTCTATGATATTGAGATGCCGCCAGAGGTATCGTAAATAGCAATGAACCATCGATCCTGGGATTACTGCACATTTTCGAATTTTTTATTTCGGGATCTAATTTGCATAATAATAAAAAAAAATCCAATTAAAAAAAAGTTCATGTGACAGGACCGGGCCCCTTGAAGAAGCGGGCCCGTGTTCCAGCGAACACATGGAACACCGGTAGTTACGCCACTGGTCGGCCGACGGACTCGATTACAATACTTCCTTTGCTTACGCTCGGGAAGTAAAAATGTTTTAGACAAACTCTACGTACCTTTAGCCGCAGAATTCGAATCTGTAATCAAAATTCGGCGTTTCTATTTATGATTTCAAAGTTACCCCTCACCCTACCGAGGCGGGAAGGGGACTAGTTTTTTGCACGAAAGTATTTCCCCCCATGGAATGATTACATTTTGAATCTGGACATTTCTCTGAGAGTTACTAGCACTGTTAATTACCTCAGAAATTAGGACAAATAGTCAAAAAAATCAACAGTCGTCATTAGTAAAATTACAACACTAATAAATCTAGCACCTAAAACGCTAGTCTGGTCACCCTGCTTGGGTGAACTTTTTTGGCTGCTAACACTAATTCTTGGTTGCCTATACTCATTGCTTATTTCATATATTTACGTGGTGGGGCACCCGAACTGCGATCGTTTTCCGAACAGACACCGAACTGTCACCGTTCAAAATATGGCCGACACTGATGCGGTCGTCAGAGGTGCACCGCGAGTCGTTGACAACATGAAAGTGCCAAACGGACCCCGCGTTGTGACCATCAACAAAACGGAGACAGGTTTCGGTTTCAATGTTCGGGGCCAAGTGAGCGAAGGCGGCCAACTGCGGAGTATCAACGGGGAGTTGTACGCCCCCTTGCAGCACGTCAGCGCTGTGCTGGATAGGGGTGCCGCCGAGCAGGCTGGGATACGCAAGGGGGACCGAATTTTGGAAGTGTGAGTCCGCAAATCCATTACTCTTCTAGCTCCATTTTATACCTACCACAGAAATACAAAAAAATAAAGTAGAGGTTAAGATTCTCTGTGGTCTATTGATTTTTGTTTGAACCTGAGTGACAGTTCGGATTACCTGGAATTGCTGTCTTACCTGATGCAAATTCCGGACTTACGGGGCGTGAAATTATGAGAATTGTATGCGTTGAAAGTAAAAGTGGAAAAATTTGGTGTAACATGCTTAGGAATGCGGGAATTTACCGGTACTAGGATTGTGGCCTCGATTTGCAAATATTAGTGAATTTGTTGCGGTTTAAGCAATGTTTTTGTTTAAATTTGCAAATTGTGCAGTCAAAGTTGTTATTTTTTTATAACCATTTTATATATATATTTTTTACACAAAACTGCCCATTTTGGCAATTGATGATAGGGATGTTGATAACCTAAAAATAATGAAAAGTTTATTACCCTAAAGTGCAATGCCTGAACTCACATTGTTTGACAATAAAATGCGATATTGTAAGTTCACTAAATATACATACTAATAAAATTTTGCAACTTTAGTCAAAGAAGAACCCGCAAAATTCTAAAATCATAAATTATACAGATACGACCGCCAAAGACCGTCTGCTTGGGGCAACAAAGGAAATTTGTAGGCACGCGACCTGTCTTACAAGTTTACAAGGACCCCACTGCGAAAAGCCGATTCGGCATTGTTAACCATATAATCCTAATGATGTCATAAAAGTTTATTAGTATGCATTGAAAGTGATCTTAGTACAATATACAGCGTGTTATTGAAAGGTACGTACAAAATAAAATCGGCAATTGGTCTCAAAGTATGGGTGCTAAAACTTAAAAAAAATTCAGGTAATAGTGTTCTCCTTTTAGAGATATAAATTATTAAAATTTATGTCCAAATTCGGTGTACGCCTCTGATAAAAAGATCATCTCTCGTTTCTATAGCAACATTTAGTCTTGACAAAAGTTTCATTGTTACAGTTGCTAGGATTTACTCAAATAAATTAATTTTACCTATTTATGCTTCAGTAGCGTCTAAAAAGGTTGGATAAGGGTTAATTTTTCCCTTATAATTTTGATAACACAAAATAAGTTTTTCAGACTTCTTAGACTTCGCGACGAACTGTCAATTTTGTTGTACGTACCTTTCAATAACACCCTGCATAATAGAATATTTTTCATAAGCTGTTTTCTTGCACAAAATAATTTGTTCCAAATTATTAATGCTTTATCTTTATCACAGTGCCCTAACTAACTTGATGATGACTTTATTTTCTTTTGATAAATTACTGGACATTAATATTACCAGCCGATTCAGTCATGTCGAAATTTAATGAATTTAATTTGAAAGTTAACGAGTAGGGTCATTTTGCACCACTGTCAAGCCCCTACCGCTGCCTTAGACATGTGTAAAAACATGATATTTGAGACGTGGTTTACCTTAAGTCTTTACTAAATGATAAAAAATAATTCTTTTATGAATTATAGTAAAAATAACTATTAAACGTATCGTATTATAGTCACGTAATTTTTACATTGTCCCGGACAAAATTATTTAATTAAAAAATTGGTCAAATTAGACACAACCTTCCTCCCCCCTGAAGTACAGTGGACATATCCAGCTTTTTAAAAAGTGTATAAAATTTTACGCACAACTGAAGAGAAACTGTTTGTTTACAAGTTGGTTTCCATGGCAGAAAGTTTTACATTACGTTAAGCGGGTTGTAAAGTGTAAAGTAAAAGCCAGCTGTAAAAAAAACCCGCCCGGTTTTGAAAATAGAAGAGTCAATTTGATCAACATATTTATTTTTAATGAATGTGAAACATACAATTAGATAAATTCTTAAAATGCAACATATTTCTTGTGCTATCCCAGGGATAACGTCATCATCAACAATAATAAACCCCTTCTATCATTCCTTTTTGACTTTTTGTATAAACTTGATCACATTTTCTTTTGACAACAGCATGGCTTTCTGTGGTTGGTAACGCTGTTGTTTTTCAAAAATGATATCAATTTATGATACCTACTAAGGTTAGTGTCCTTTTTTACTGTTAATGTCTTTTTAATCATTCAGACTTTGACCAAAGAGAACTGCATTGCTATTTTTTGGACCGAAAATCACAAATTATATTCATTTTTATTAAAAGACATTAACCTTTTCACCGAAATATGCAAGTAAAATAGTTTCATTAATCGTATTTAATTTTTTGGTATTCTCCGTTTCGTTGCTCTCTTTAGATTTACTCGGAAGCACGCTCGGAAGTAATTCGGCTATCGCTACATCGGCTGCTTGCCCAATTCCTTCAGGAATAATTTCTTCCATTTTCACAAAATTTTCAGAATTTTTCTATTTACACATAAACACATGGCAACCAACATTTGCCTATCAAGCACCATCTAAATATAATTAGAAAATATTACTTTAAAAATACAAACATGGAGCATAGTAGTCAGTTTAACAAGTGACATATCACCTTCTGATCAGTTCCTTCAAAGTTTCGGTTTAGCTGTGCGTGAAACGTTGGTATAGTCTTTGCCATTTCTGTTGAAACACCACCTGTTGATTTTGCCTAAAATTTAGCAATTGCTAACAGTTTTCGGTTGATTGACAACGGCTTTTAGTTAGAAAATTGTGTGAATATGAACGTTGCCAAATTTACAATCAACAAGTGGTGTTTCAATAGAAATGGCAAAGACTATATGTATCCTCAGGCTGTAAAATCTGGTTTACACTATTCGAGTTTCGTATTCGACTTTTTGATTCGACATTTTCATTCGAGACCATCGAATGAGATCTCGAATCCAAAATCGTTTTGTCTTTACATACCATTAGATTTTTACATTCCATGGTGCTTTCAAAAATTAGAAATCTGTCAAAATGCTGTCATTCTACTTGCGTTGAGGTTATGTATTTATTATTAGATTGTTGCCCCAGTTTGTTGCATTTTTCTGGTGATTGGGTTTGTGCAACTGGAAACATTAATAAATAAGCATGTCTAGATATAATAATTCATGACATCTCGTTAGCTGATCGTTGAGGGGTTGAGCATTACTTGCGCATGCGCTATAAATTCTCGTTCTATCTGCGAAATATCAAATGTGAAATCGAACGAAAGATCGACGTCGCTATGTCGAATCTGGTCGAATGCAGAATCAAGAAGTATAAACAGACAAATTGGGAGTCGAATGAGGTCTTATTGCAAGTAAAATAAGAAAATCGAGTAGTGTAAATCAGCCGGGCCTCAAACTTTGGCCATCGGGCGTAATCTTACACTTACGGCCCTCTATACGTAAATAACTATTATCTTGCGAATTTCATTTTTACTTTCGAAGCGTAAGCGAAAGAGCTGTTGTAGGTAATATGCATCCAGCGAATGGTTTCATGGTGTCTCCATGGTTCATGACTTCCAGAGTAAGAAAAAATAAGTCGCCCGTTTCCGTCTGTCTGTAGTCTGTCGTCACAAATGTAGAATGATATTATTTTATAAAATTTAAATAATATTTATTATGCAAAATTTTGAGGGAACGTAACACGTTAGGGGGGCGGGTCAAAACCTTTGTGACATCACAGCTAATATGAAACAATTACATAACGAGGTTCATACGTGGCGATGTGTTGCGTGAATATAGTATGTACATTGCAGAGATATAAAATTTTATCGTATAGTAAACTCACTTGGCATAAAACTTTTATGACTTGAGCGGCTTAAGCCAAACCACCCTTATAAGTCAAACTGACCATTGTAAAGTTTCTACACTTTATTAATACCTAGTAAAATTTTACAACCACTACTTTGAGCGATTGTCGGACAATGTCCAGGGGGATAATGACGCCAATAAAAGGAGCGTTTGTATAGTAGGCTAGAAACATCCAGGGTTGCATTGAATTTGTGATTTATGGTGTTATGGGTCCAAGCTTCATGGTTAACTTTGAAATACCAATAAAATTTTATTAGATACTGATGTATTGTACTTACTGTAAGCTTATGGACCCGAACCGCGAGGATTATTACTGTCTATTCTTGCCATAATGGAGCTATGAACTGAATTAAGTTATACAAAAGCAAGTTTGACTTATAAGGCCGCTTTGGCTTAAGCCGCTTTAGTCATAAAAGTTTTACAAGGTGTATGTCAAATGAGTTTACTGTACTTATGATCGAAATTCCCTGCAGTTTTAAAAACTGTCTATAAAAACGGCTGTGAATTTTCTTGTTTATTATTTTTATGTGTAATAATTGTTACAATATCTGTTGAATTAATTTGTAGTCAAGCGTTTTTTTTTGTCAGCATTGCATCAGGTGAAGATTTTGAAGAGTACAATATATCAGAACTATAGTAGAAATAAAATCCCAATGATAACAGCCATTAGCGAAATTGGGCTCAGAAATCGAAGACATCATTAAGGAAAAGTCGAAATTTATAATTAAATACACCTCTGTGACGCGTGCCACAATGACGTCAGAACTTGTCACCATTGACTGTTTTATTTTATTTTCATATGCAACTTTCCACTTTGTGTACAAACAATGTATCTCTGCAGGGTACCATATAATGAGTGTTCATTTGAAAAAGTCATTAAGTTGACGTTACTTTTTTTTATTTATTTTCATTAGTAGTTGCACATGTTTCAGTAGCATTTCTTGGGCTTACCCCAGAAGTTCAGATCACCAAGTGATCAAAGCAACTTCCAGAGGAGGCTGGATTTTTACGTTCGTTTGTTTGACATTACGTCTCATTATTAATTTTTGGTAGAAGAAAACGGAGGGAAAAACGCACGTGTTTCATTAATCCATGTTGTGTATGGTTGACATTTCCACGTTGTCATTTGTCATCGATTAAATTTTTGATATATTGCGGACATACTTGGCAATGTCTACAAAAAATCAACGCCAACTGGATGATTTTTTCAACTGAACACCCGATATAAATTAAGATGATTGGTACAAATAAAGATGACTACATTTTTTAATACATAATC